CATATTGGTTTAGTTTTGTTATCACTTTTGAATAAGAGTCTTCTTCACTCTACACTTGGCTTTAATCTTCCTCATGGCATCTACTAAAGTAGTACATATAAAACGAAATCAAACAAACAAAAATAATTGGAAGGAACATTTGTAATCATATAAAGCATGAATTACCATTCATTGGAGTCGTTGGGATTCGAAGGAACTCATTACCTTTTTGATAGATTTCAATGGCGTTACTGATCAGTGGAAGGAAAAAGCCACCAATCTGGCTAACGGGTTGCGTAAAAGAGAAATTAAGGGCAGTTTCCAGTGTAAAGAGTCTAAAGACTGTATCGTGTAGGAAAACGTGGTTTCCAAGCAACTGGTACGTGAAGGACGGTAGTTATTAAGTGTGAAACCCTTGATCGACAGTGAGAGATGTCATCTGAAAATCTTAATATCAGTCTAAGGAAACATGTAATTTTAAATTCTGAGAAGGATATAAGAAAAAATATATTGTTTTTGGGAAAGATACTTTGCAAACTGTTAAATAGAAAAAAATCTCAACAGAAAAAAAAAAAGGACCTTAAAAGTTAAACCTACCAATTTGACCTAGCCGTGAGGAGATAATGAAGACTCGCCGGGAAACATACACGGCCGAAACTCCGACGTCGTTGTTCCCTGAATCCCTCCTCACAGTGAAACAATTTGTTCAAGCACCGTGAGTTTTCCTTTAACTCGAAATTCTAGGGTTTCTCTGAATTAGGGCTTAGGTTTGTTTTCTTTTATTTCAGAGTATCTTGTTGCACGAACGAATGACTTCACTGATTGAAGTCTGTAGCTTTTAAGTTTTAACACTGTACGAACATCAATGAGATGCTTTATAGTTTCTCTTAACTAATTCGTCTTTCTTTATCGTCTAATTGACAGATGCAGTATAGGAAATCGTGGATCAAAGATGAAGTGTATTACACGATTATGGGGACTAAATATTCCCTCAGAGCTCCTGCAGGAGATACTGTCCCGCCTAGGATTAAAAGAAAACATACGAGCTTCAATTGTATGCAAGACATGGTGTGAAGCAGCGGTTTCTGTTAGGAAGCTACAACCTCGTCCTTGGCTTCTTTATCCACAGGAAGGGTCAGAAGACAAAGGAGACTACATTCTTTATGACCCATCAAGTTCTCAAACTTATAAATTCAATTTTCCAGAGTTGGAGAACGATGAATTCGATTATACTAGTACCAGGGATGGTTGGTTGTTTATGCTAAAACATGATCCCTGGGAATTATTATTACTTAACCCGTTTACCGGGGAGCGCATCCACTTACCCAAGTTGCCAGAAAAGACCTCAGGAAATTGCTTAGATTTCTCAGCCGCTCCTACATCAAGTAGTTGTTTGGTGATCTCACTCAACTATACAGATTACGGCTTGATCAATATCTGGCGGCCTGGGGAAACCGTATGGACCACCCATCGCTTTAAGAACCATCTTGAGAACCAACCTGTTGGGTTTTGGTACACTTGTGTGTTCTCGAATGGTCTGTTCTATTTTCACAGTACCTGGGGATTTCTCGGGGTAATGGACCCCTCTAAACTAACCTGGAATAATCTCCTAGTGAAACTCTATCCCTATCCCGGTGCTTTTGATAGTGAACTTTTCATGGCAGAGCATGAAGGAGAAATCTTTCTTGGTTTCACACGTGACATAAAGAATCCATCAGTCGTTATCTTTAAACTAAACCTTAACAGAAATGGATGGGAAGAGACTAGAGACCTCGATGGGTTGACAATATTCACAAGTCACCGTTTCTCTCTTACAAGAGCTGGTCTCCCCTTGGAGATGAGGAATAAAATATATACATCCCAAAGCCCACGTCCCCCTTCAATGCTTGTTTTTCCATACCGCGGCGTTTGGGTTGATCCACTTCACAACGTTAATTTGTGACTTTCTTGTTTATGTTTTGTCTCATAGAAAACTTTATATGTGCCTTTTCATTAGATGAATTCTTTTTTTTTCTCCCTTTGTGGTTTAACGGGTGTGAACTCGTTACTTGCTTGTGTGCTCCTGCTTTTATTTCGTTTCTCTGCAATCTTCATCTTCCATCTTTCAAAAGTCTCTGTTTTTTTTTTCTGTTCTTAGACTGCATCACTATGTCTTGTTCTTATATCCTATGTTTTTGGTTTGTTTGTTCTTCTCTCAAGGAAAGTCGACGCCTTTGGGTTAACAAGTCCCTACACATATAAAACGAGATCAAACACAAATCATATAATAAGAACGTTTGATCACATAAAGCATGAATTACCATCGAGTGGATTAGTTAGGATTCGAAGGAACTCATTACCCTTCTTGATAGAACTCAAAGGACAAAGTCACCAATCTTACTAAGGGTTGCGTGAAAGAGAAATTAAGGGCAATTTCCAGTGTAAAGAGTCTTAAGACTGTATAGAATTAACGTGGTTTCCAAGCAAGTAACATGTAAGTGAAGGTCAGACAGTGAGATGTACTTAAAGTCCATAATTATTCACATCTCAAACCTTTTTTTTTTTTTAACGTCTGGTATAATACAAGAAGGATCAAATCCAAGAAAGTGTGGAGC